TGAAAATTTAGATCTGCACAGTTTGACATGGAAAATTGGGCTTCCTAAAAATAATGATCAGAAAATTAAAAATTCATGATGACCAAAGAGAAGAAATCATTGTTTTAATCCTGTATAAAAAAAAAAATTGATGAACTAACTCTTTGCTCTAAAATGTATTCAAAAAAGAATTGACCCTGCTAAAAATAACTTTAGAAAAATGAAAAGTTAAGACAGAAAAATTTAGAAATGACTGTTTTGGATAACTGAATGAGAGGTTAGATTGTCCTAATGAATGTTAAGTCCAGAAAAATGTTTTTGACAAATTTAAAAGTGCTAAAATATTTTGCATAAGATTTTTATAGTCATAGACATGGAGTCAAAATATTCATAAATAACAATTAGATTAAAATGGTTAAGTTAGATTAAAATGGTTAAGTCAAAATATTTGGGTCAAAACATCCTATTTTATACATGGTTGGGATCATAAATTCAGTATTCAGTTATTTCTAATGTTAACTGCAAATTATGTTTTGATGGATGTGTCCTGTGGTGATTTCAGACAAGTAGTCTGCAGGTCACTCTGGAAGATGGTCACATTGAACTGAGCACCAAGGACAGCACCAGCCCAATTTTTAAGTCTCCTCAGACGTACATGGATGGTTTGCTGCATTACGTATCTGTAATAAGTGACAACGCAGGGTGAGTGGGCTTGTACTTCCATCCGGGTTCTGAGAGTTCTGTTATTTACATTAAATAGAATTCTCTTATATCTTGTTGCAAAATGTTTGTTCTTGATGCTAATGCTACTTTACTAGAAAATCTTAGTCTTCCTCCTTGTTCTATATCAACGTTTTCAATAAAAATAAATTAAATTATTGGATGTGGATCCATTGTGGTACATTCAAAATGGACCACTACATAGCAATGTAAAAGAAAAATCTAAAATTATATGGAATGACATGGATGAACCTTACAAACATAATGTGGTGCAAAAGGAGTCACCCATAAAAGAAATCATCCCCTATGATCACATTTCTACAAAGTTCAAAAGCAGGGCAAGTTATTCTGCCAGAGTCCAGGATGCTGGTTACTCTTGGAGAAAGAGGGAAGCTAGAGACTAAAAACCACCTCACAGTGGGGTTCTTGGCCTGGGGCGAATCTGTTTCCTTCTCTGGGAACTGGTTATTTTGGCGTTTTCATGTTACAAGACTTTTTTGAGTACAATAGGATATGCGAATTCCTGTATGTGTACAATACTGAGTGAAAGTGCTATGTGTAAAGAATACATGAAAGTAAATTTCAGTGGTCTTTAAGAACAAGTCCAGTCTAACCAGTGCTTTTAGGTAACAGATACCGAGTCTGGGTCAAGGGTGTAAACTGACCCCATGGCTTGAGCATCTTTCCTAGCAGGTCTCACTCGTGCTTTCCTCCTCTTTCAGCCTCCCGCTTCTCCTGGATGACCAGCCCCTCCGGAGGATCCAGAGGCTACAGGGCATTTCCAGTTCTGCGCAGTCTCTCCGCCTGGGTGGGAGCTCTTTTGAGGGTTGTATCAGCAATGTTTTCATCGAGAGGTGGGTGATCTTTTCTATGTGGGAACTGATGTGAACAGCCGACCCTCTGGACCTACCCTACTCCTGCCAAAATCCTAGTCAGTAATGTTCCCCCTACTCCTTCCTCTGGCTTGTAGCTGTGGTATTCAGGAGGGAGATACAAATATACTAGGACCCACGACAGTTAAGAATGTTATTTGTTGCTGGATGTGGTGGCACATGCCTGTAGTCCTAGTACTTGGGAGGCTGAAGCAGGAGGATCACCACAAAGCAGCTTTCATTTCTGCTCCTTTCCAGGTTTCTGGAGAGCCCTGAAGTCTTAGATTTTGCCAGTAAATCTACCAAGAGAGATGTGTCTGTAGGAGGCTGCAGTCTGAACAAACCTCCTTTCCTAATGTTACTTAAAGGGTCCACGAAGTTTAACAAGGCCCGGACCTTCGATATCAACAGAGTAAGTGTCAAAGCCTCACCCTGGCTTTATCTCCACTGGATGGATGATTCTCCTGGGACAGCCAGGTGACCGATGGTGGGAAAGGGGGGTAAATGGCCAGGTCTATAGGGCTCAGTGCCTCTGTGAAGTGGCATTCTTGGGCTGTCTGCCATTGCATTGCGCCACAATGACAAAACAATTTTCTTTCTGGCTTTTGTTTTGTATCTTTTTGAAAATTTGGCAGTTTTCAGCCACAGAACAAACAGAACTATAACTGAATGAAATGGGTTGGTCCTTGGTGAACACAAAGCCAAGAAGCACAACCCGGAAGTAAAAGGGTGAAGAAAGAAAGGTTTATTCCTTGCAACAAAGACTAGGGCATAATTCTCAGAGCAGTGCCTGTCCTTCAGGAAAGAAAGCCAGTGGCTTCTGATGGGAAACGCATGCACATTTATATTGAAGACCCTTGCCCTCACATGGAGAGGTGGGCACATTCCTGCACATGTTCAGCTGGAGATCATGCTTCTTCACACATTGCATGTTCAAAAACGGCAGACAGAGTTGGGTGTGGTGGTGCATGCTTGGGATCCCAGCACTCTGGCAGGCTGAAGCAGGAGGACTGCAAGTTCAAACCCATGCTGGGCAACTTAGTAATTTAACAAGATTTTGTCTCAGAATTATAAAACAAAAACAAACAAACTAAAGCGATGGGCTGGGGATGTAGCTCAATGTAAATGACCTGGTTCAATGCCTAAGACCAAAACAGCAACAACAAAAAGAAGGTGAACAGAAGCATTCTCTGGGCACAGAATGTAGCACTATGATGAAATTATAACGAGCAAAGTTTACTCTAAGTCTCCTAGAAGAGGGCTGAGCAGCCCTGATGGCTTAAACTAATTCCTTGTGGTTTCTCTGGAGAGCATTATCTGAATGGAACAAAAACCTGGAGAAAACATTAACAGCTCTTTAAAGCCCCGCTCCTCCAAAGTTAACAACTGCCCCTAAAAATTACCTGCCTAGTGGCTAACAGAACCTTCATAAGTTTCTGAATTTCTGTAGCTGATGCCTTTCTCTCCGGACAGCTCTGCTGTGTCTGCGTTAGATCCATTGATTTTTCTTCAGAATAGGAGGGCCAAGTCCCTCTCCTGCCTCATGGGGCGCCTGTGAGAAGACACGCATGCGCACTCAGGCCATGTCGAAGCTGTGGGCTTAACTTTGGCTGCTCATGAGAAATACCCAGGGAGCTTTGCAATCCCAGCTCAGAGGCTTTACGCGGGGGGACCAGGCATGCTCCCAAGGGAGTCCCGTGTGCTACACAGAGAGACTGAGAGGAAGCAGAGGCATTGTGAATTGAACGCGGGGTTAGGCCTTAAGGAAGTCCTTGCTGTGCCTGAGGCTAACAGTGTAACCTCCTATGTCTGAGGTCACAGTGAATAAGATTAATGGATAACATCAAGGCACCCCAGTCTGCTAGGCATTGCACTAAGCCCTCCAAGGGAATTTTCTTACTAAGTCCTTCACCTTGTGCAGTCCGCACTGTCACTAGCCACGTCTTGCAGAAAGGGGCTGCAGTTGGAAAGAGTGAGCAGTTGCCCAGCTCTCCCAGTCTGAGGTGGAGGTGGGGTCCCAGCTCCACAGCCTGCCCCGCTGGGCAGTGATCTGCTCTGCTCGGCCCACTTTTCACTTAACTTCAGCCGTGTGCTGTTTGCTAATCTTTCTGTGCTGCATGATGATTTGCAGAGTTTGAATGGATAACATATAAGAAATGTCTTATGCTATTGCAGAGAAATACACTTCATGAACCCAAATGTTTATCGTTTTACTGTTACCAGAGGAACATCTTTAGAACTGTCCCCTCAGAAATGAAGCCTTAGGTTCATTTTTTTATTGTAAGACTGATAACTATGAGAGGCAGAACTGGCACAGAGCTGAAGAGAAGGAAATAGACTCTACAGCTATTTAGAAGATAGAATATGCTGGACTCAAGACAACTGGATTTGGGAGACCAGGGCGAGATGGGACAATGTGAGGCAGCCAGTCTGGGTTGTTGGGTTGAGGAGATTCCATCGAGCGCTCCATGAAGATAGGAGGACTAGGATTTGGCGGGAAGAGACTGGAAAGGGAGTTGGTTGGTGGTGTGCCAGGTGTCCATTGGAGGCAGTGGATAGGACCAGGGCTATTTCTGTGGGAGATGTTTGTGACTGCATTAATTTTCCCTCAGTTCTGTGCAAGCCACAAATTAGACAGAAGATGTTAGTTCTACCTCTAATAGCCCCATAGCAGAGAGACTGCAACAAGCTTAGGGCTAAGTACTGGCCCTCTGGGTCAGAGTTCCTGGGCTTACATTGGGCTTTATCACGGGTTATATCCGTGCCTTTGAATAATTACTTAAACTCTCTTGCTCCAGTGTAAATGAAGTTAAATAATCGTCATATCTCATGATGTTGTTGTGAGGGTTAAATGATGAAATAAACATAAAACACTTGGGAAGGGGCCTGGCATGTAGTTAAGTATGTAATGTGTATTAGTTATTATTACTATGCATAATAATAACAACAGCCTAAAGGAGAGGAACACAAAATGCTATGGGAATGGTGCAACAGGGATTTTCTTATCATGGAAATTAGGGGGGGTCTTTGGTGGGGGGTGACCAGGAGCTGGGGCTCCTGAGCATGGGTCAAGTTTAGTTGTATGAATACTGGTGTTGTGTGAGCAGAAGCCCAAAGCTGGAGACAGGATGTGGGCAGCGCTCATAGGTACAAGACACTTTGCATGCATGCTCTCTGATCCTCCCCAGGCTTCATGCTGTCCCTTTCTGTTTGCACCACATCCTACTGAGAGCAGAAGAAAATACCAATTTCATAGGCCAGGAAACTGTGTTTCAAACATTTGCCCAAGAACACCCATCAGTAACTGGTAGGGTCAGCATTTGAACTTAGGGCTGTAGAATCCCAGAGAATATGCTCTGAAGGCCTCTGTAGGTTGCGGAAGCAGGATAAACAATGGGAAATCTTCTGGAGGAGGAAGACAAGGGCAGAGGGTAACTCCAGTCACACACTAGCATCAGATTGGGCAAACCTTGCATGACCTGTGTGAACTCTGACCATTTCAATAACCAGTAGAAAGCCATTGAAAGGTGTGCTTTAAACTACTTAGAAGATTAAAGATTATGAAACTGGCAGCAGCCTGTGGCATGGTTAGGTGTAGGGAAATTCTAGGGGCAAAGAGTTAAACACGCAAGCTACTACAATAGTCCAGGCAGGAGAGTCAGACCGACTTTCAGGGCAGAGACACTAGAGAGGCAAAGAGTGGAAACAAAATAGGTCCTAGAGAGGAGCAGCAGGAAGTGAAGACCAGGATTGAAAGAGGCCAATGAGCTGGGTTTCCTTGATGACCAAGACTTTGACCCTGGCTTCTTTGAAAGATAATGAGAATTAGGGAAGAGTTGGTGGCAAAGGGTGATGACCAAAACGGTTCATCCTGGTGCTCCTGTTAGTTTTGATTGGGTCCACTCACCTGCCCTGCTGCCAAAGCTCCAATGAGTGGCCAGGAAGGGGAGATGGCAGTTCTGTGGCTCCATGTCCCACTGGCTGGCTACAGCTGCCTTGTGTTGCTGGCTGTCTAGGGCACGTCGCTTCTTCCAGTGCTCCATGATGATGCAGGCCGCTGGGTATCTGCAGGAGCAACAGCTTTCCAAAAAGACCAGATTCATATGGGGTGAGAATAGCACATGTCCTCCCCAAGGAGAGCAAGAGAAAGGGGGATGTTTAGAGGCTGTGCAACTTTGTCTCCCCAAGGACTGACCCTCTGCCCCTTCCAGCCCTGTGTATACCTCTCTAGAGGCAAAGCCATGCTAGGACACTGACTGGCTGCAAGAGTGCTATGGAGCTGAGGCTAAGCGCTGGCTTTCCCTTGTCCCCTGCTCTATGCCAGCCAGTGAGCTCCAGGAAGCACTGTCAGTGGGAACCTCCTGTCCCCATGGGATTATTTGCTGGAGAGTGAAAAATTAATCCAGATGCTTGGCAAGACAATCTTTCTTCTCTGCACAAACCAGCAACTAGCACCCTCCTCCTGTGCTCCTTTCCCATGCAGATGTTGGGGGATGCACCAGCGACCTCCCCCAGGAGCATGGAAGTGTGGCAAGATGCGAAGCTTTGCTCACCGCCAGTTGGGACGCAGAATCACAGAGCCCTCCAGTTTGGGGACAGTCCCACCAGCCACTTGCTGTTCAAGCTTCCCCAGGAGTTGCTGAAGCCCAGGTATTTTAAATTTTCCTGCTCCAGGGCCAACTCAGAGTGTGACTGCGATTGTTCCTGGGGATGTCTGGCTGGCACAACATTGTGCCCCTCTCACAGAGGAAGGTGGCATTACCATTCTTGTGAAGAGGGGTGGCAGCTCGCACAGAACCGCAGGGGGGAACGTGATTGCTGGCCATGTGCTCCCCGCAGCTGGCGTGCAAATGTGACGTGTACCACTCAGGGGCTGAGACAATCAGTTAGAAATTGACAGTGTTCTAAAAATAAGGCTGATTTTGTTCCCAAAGCTGCTATTTATTTCTATGACAAATCATCTTCCCTTGGTTTCTGTAGCAAAAGGAAAAGTGTCCTTTTAGGAAGCCTTGGTGGCAGATAGACAGTGTTTAGAGAATGCGTTCCGACTTTTTGTGCCAGCCCGCTGCATCTCTTTGGTGGGGGAGGGAGTGAGCAGAGATGTTAACGATGCCAGTAGAAAGAAAAAAACAAAACTTGTCATTCTCAGGTGGTTTGAAGGAGGCGTAAAGAAAAGGGTCCAACTGTTCCTTCAAGAGTTCTCTGCAGAGGCAGAATTTCAGGGGTCACGGTGACCTGGCTCTCAGTCCCTAGTCAGTCACACACTGGCTGTGTGGCCTGAGGCTGCGTGCCAGCTCAGCTGCTCGAGACTCAGACGTTCAGATGCAAACAGATGGGCACTGGGTTTATTGTGGGAAACCCAGGGAAAGATGACAGTGAGAGGACAGGTGCCAGCAGGGGGCCAGAGAAAACCTCAAGCTGGCACGGGGCCTGCTGACCCGTGAGGAGAGTTCATGAGGACGAGGGCCAGTACAGGGGCTCAGAGTGCGGCACAGCTCTGAGAAGTCAGCCAGGCTCGGGACACCCCAAGCAGAGGTCACCCCAGAGGGCCCGGTGTGGAGCCCAAGTGGCCCAGCTCTAGTCTGCCAGCCATCCCTGGCTGGGAGCAGCCCAAGTTGTGGCTGCTGATCCCAGGGCAGTGGAGGCAGCGGCCAGGGCACTGTGCCCACAGCAGGGGCCCTCAAAGGGAACACGTCTTCATGGCCACCACAAACCATGAAACTTAAATTTTCAAAGTCCAAGCTTTCCCGCTGTGCCTGTCCCACCTGTTCTAGCGAATCGTGACCACTCTCTGGACCTCTGTTTTCTCTTCAGTCAAATGGAATTGATTCTGTGTCCCTCGCAGGAAGGTGAGGCACTCAGTGAGCCATGGGCATGATTCACCAGCAGGTAGATGTGAAGGTGAGGGACGAATTGAATTCTGCACTGACGCAGGCCATGATGGTGCATCCTATAATCTCTGCACTCTGGGAGGCTGAGGTGGGAGGATCACAAGTTAGAGCCTGGCTTGGGCAACTTAGCAACTTAGTGAGACCCTGTCTCAGAATAAAAAAAAAAAAAAGGAAAAGGACTAAGGATGTAGTTCAGTGCAAAGGCCCTGAGTTCAATTCCTAGTACCTAGATAGAAAAATAAAATACTGCATTCAGTAGAGGAAATCATCAGGCAGTTCCTGTCTCCAGGGTCAAGACTTGGGATCTTTCATTTGGCAAACTGTGCTGATAGAAGACTGAGGCAGAGGGAGGGGATTGTCCCTCAGCCCTCCCCTGGTGCCTTCTCAGTGGCAAGGCTCACCGCCAAGCCCTGTCCCTGATCAAGCTGACCCTAATGACTAAACACCAGCAGCCGCAGATACAGATGCTACCCGAATGCTCTCTCCCCAGCCCTGGCCCACCCCTCCCCCACAGCTCAGCCCTCTCCCCCTGCACTTCCAGTGAGGGAAGCTAGCCAGCTTTTTCTGGTGACTCAGTCCCCAGATTCAATCCTTTCATGTCCAGCTCTAAATTATACATCATCAATGAAAAAGATGACATTTAAAAAGTTTAAATAAAATGCAGTCCATCATTTGTAAATACAAATTTCAAACTATTTGAGTGCCAAATAGCGTAGCAATCAAATTATATTTTCAGGAATTACAGGCTCATATTTTTAGGAAGCTGCAAGTATTTTACCATTCCTATTCTGATTTCATTCTAGCAACGTTTGACTCTCTTTCCAAACTGGTACCATCACTGTAACCCTAGGGTGGACGCATGAAAGTGTGATTTCCCTTCTCCGCCTCTAGCCATGAATAGTCAAAGCTACAATACTATGTTCTGGGATTTGAATTCACTGCCGCCTTTTCGGGGTGTTAGTCAGTTAGTCTTTTCTGAAAGAAAATTGCTTTAAGAAACAGTTCTGGGAAGTAAATGTCAAGTCTGATTACCCAGCCCACATGCGCGAGGTGCTTTCCCTTCTGGAGCGCCTTCCAGGATCGCCTTCCCTCTGCCAGCCCTCGCCCTCCCGCTCTCCACGCTCGCAGATACAGCCGCTGCCATCTGGGTGGTTTCATGTAACAAATACGAACTTCTTTTTCCTTTTGAAGAATGTTCCCCTCCAGGAAACTTGCTAATCTGAAGATTACATCTCAGCCTCACAGTACTGAAAAGCAAAGCGAATGAACAGTGTAACTTTTCCTTCCACTTCTAGGTTCTGCCTCCAGAATTTCTATTGATTGTTTAATTCAATTCAAGAATTATTTATTGAGTCCCTCCTCTGTATGGCGCACTGGGGGTGCAGCTCTAAGCAGGACCAAGCTTGCTCCTGCTTCAGTCCTATGTGCGCTGAGATAGTAGGCTCAAGCAATGCAAGATGACAGCCAGCTCTTACCTTTGTCTCTACCACCTGTTTCTGCCATATCTTTAGGATCCCTCTCAGGGCATCCGTGGACCATGTACAGCTTAAAAATGAACCACCATCCATATCTGCACATCCAGATCCCAGCATAGAGCCTTATCCTTGCTACACACTTGTTAAATATGTATTGAATAGGAGTGGATAGATGTAAGTTTCCATAGACTGTAAATCTTGCTCAGTCAGATGTACAAATGCCATGCAACCATCCATGCTAATGAATGTTAACTTTCAACCTCCACTTTGACTACACAATATTTAGTTCCTCTTCCATCATAGATGAAGCATGAGCGTTGGTGGGTCATAGAGATAGGCGAATCTTTACTTCTGTGCATTTATGTTAAACATTCATGTTATGAGTCTTACAGAGAGAAAGTGCTCATCTGGTGCTTGGGTCACATCCTTATTCACTGCTGATCCCTACTCCCCCTACAACTTCCCTCTCTGGGAATACACACAAATAGAATGCATATTCATTGGGCTTACAGACTTCGGGCTACTAAGTGAAACAAGCCAGTCACAATAAAACAAATACTGTATGATTCCACTTATATGAGGTACCTAGAGCAGGTAAATCCATGTGGGTAGGAACTAGAATGGTGGTTTCCAGGGGCAGGGGTGAGAGAGGCAAGGGACATGCCTTTGCTCATGTACTGGAAAAACGGGTTTGGGTACATGTACCTCACTCTCCCAGCTATGAGATACAGAAAAGCAGTAACAAATCCCTTTTCCTTCTTGCTGTTGCTTTCTTTTCCCCACAGGTCAGAGTTTTCTGTGGACATACAAACAACCTCCTCGGGGGGCCTGGTGTTTTACACGGGGACCAAGAACTCCTTTATGGCTCTTTACCTGTGGAAAGGACACCTGGTCTTTGCTTTGGGGGCAGAAGGGAAAAAGCTGAGGCTCAGAAGTAAAGAGACATACAACGACGGCAAGTGGCACACGGTAAGACCTTGGCTACCTCACTACACTTTGAGCATTCTGAGAAATCTGAAACCCAAAATGCTCCCAAATCCCAAAATTTTGAGTAACGACCTGGCGCCACGGTGGAAAATTCCGCACCTGATCTTGGGTTGTGGTCAAAGTGCAGGCAGGCCAAAAACATTGCATAAAATTGCTTTTGGGTTTTCATGTATATAGTATATATGGATGTAAACGGATTTTGTGTTTAGACTTGGATACCCTCTCTAGGATATCTTATTACGTACATGTAAATATTCTAAAATCCAGAAAATCTGAAATTTCCAACACATCTGGTCCCAAGCATGTCTGATCAAGAATATTCAACCTGCACCTGCAGCTGAGGTGAAATTCACTGTCTGAGGAATGGAAAATAGGACCCAGCATCCTTCCCAGGAGAGCTTGTGTGGGTGGAGGCGTTGGGCACCAAGGTGCTGGGACTGCTGCACACACCATGTGTTAATGATGCCCTAAATGCCCAGGTGGACACAGCCACTGTTCCTTAGACCCCCTCCATCCTCACTGGGCTGCTTTATTCCCTGGCCTACATCCAACCTGCTTCCTGGACCATCTGCCTCTTGCAATGGCCACTTTCAGGCTACCTGAATGCCCTCCCCATCGGACAAGCAAAAAGACCCACATCCCTAGCAACCCAGCTCTGGCCTCAAGGCAGACCAGATTTTTAAAAATACAGTGTAACTCCAGAGGGATTTTTTTTTAAAACGAGAGAACTGATACTCAGCTAATCTAAGAGACTTGACAAGTTGTATTCATTTAGTCATTCAACCAATAGTTCGTGAGCTGCTCACTGGAGCACATAAACACAAAACTCTCAATATAACACCAGACACTGGCAAGTGCTTGCAGAAGACACTAGAGCAAGGCCAGGAAATGACAGTGCAGGGTAGGGAGACTATTTTAGACCAGGGAGTTAAAAAAGGCCTCCTGCAGAGGGTGAGTGTCCTATGAATTTATACAGGTGCTCCAGGCAGAGGAGGGCAAAGGTAAGGACCTCCAGGTGGGAGTTAGTACGCTGTACAAACCACAGAGCTAGGAGCAGTATTGGAGTGGTAGGCAGGGCCAGATTGTTAAGCTCTGAAGGACAACCTGAGGACTTCGGATTTCATTCCAGGTGTCTCTGCAGCTTTGGAAGAGGCTTGAACTAGCCAAGCAGATGGGTGTTTTTTTACTCTCATCAGCTGAAGGAGTAGGGAGGTTAGAAGTAGAAGTAGGGACTCTAGAGAGACCAGCCTGGAAGTGCAGAGCTGGGGTCCGGATGGGCCCCAGAGGCAAAGCAGAGGGCTGGCCGGGGCGCACAAGGACTGGGACAATGGAGCAGTTGATACCGCAGCAGTCTGCCCAGTGGTGGGCATTTGCTGAGGTGGAGAAGGTGGAGAGGAGGCTGTGTGACCCAAGAGTAGAGTATTGGCTGAGGAAGACGAGGAGCTCAGACATGCTACCCTAGTGTCCCAGACAGGAGAGACTGGGGGCTGCAGCTGGATGTGGAAACCGCAGAGATGGCAGAGTCCACACAAGGGCCCAGGAGTCCTAACTGGAAGCAAAGAGCTGAAAACCCTGCCCCTTGTGTTAGAAGTGGCTGCACTCTTCTTGCTCCAAGGAGCCTCCTCAAGGGCGCAGACAACTTCCGCTCCTCTCAGTCTACTTAAACTGCTGTTTCCCTTGGTTGCAAAGAAGCTTGCTGATTTCTGTGCCTCTGGTTGCCCACCTTTGGTACAAATTTCCAGATCAACTGTATCTGTTTATGTAGTTTACTTTTGAGTAATGTTTTATTTATCTGTCCTTTCTACTTAGTTTGTTCAATATCTAACACAATCTCACAAAACAGTGGTAATGAGAAACAGAAGAAAAACATCTCATTTTTTTACAGCAATCAGAAGGGTAGGGAACTTTAAAAAAAAAATGTCCTGTGACTATTAATAAAATACAGCAGCACATATCAGAGGTAAGAACTTGACTCATGTGTTTTCTTGACTCTGCAGGTGGTGTTTGGGCACGATGGTGGAAGGGGGCGCTTGCTTGTGGATGGGCTGAAGGCCCAGGAGGGCAGTTTGCCTGGAAATTCCACCAGCAGCCCCAGAGCACAGGTTTACCTGGGGTGGTCTCCATCAGGGAAGCCAAAGGTAAACATAGAACAAGTTCACGTTATAATACAGCCATTGTAATGATATAAGATGTTTAAGAATCTCAAAATGCTTTAAATATTTTTTTAATATCAAATGTTCACAGGGCCACAGAGAAGGACCCCACTCCTCACTGAGAAGCCTTCCTGTGTTGGGTGCAGGTTGACACAGGCACCCACATATGCAGAGAGTGCAGGCCTTTGTGTCTTCATGCACATGAGGCCCTTAGCTCCTCTCCCAGGAGCTGCACACACGTTTAAGGCTGCAGGCTGAAAGCAATTTTGGATTAAGGCAGTGAGGCACTTCAGTAATCTGTGCCACCTGGCCATCTCTGCTGTACTCAGGCAAAGCATTTACTTCATAGTTTGCTATTGAGCTGAAACGTGTTGTTAATGGTCTTTTCTCTCTTTTTCTCATAAATGGAAACCTAATGTCCTTGCCATAAATAGTACAAAACCATAACAATAAATACACGGAAATGAACCAGTGTTATTAGCTCAGTAGTGTGGCCTGTGTCCCCTTCATTTGGAGATACAGGCGCTTGCCAAGTGACCAGGGAGTGTTGAAGACATATTAGCGCGACGCTGTAGTTTACCCCTTGTCCCTCTCAGGGCTAGAGGGAGAACTGAAAAAGGAAGAGGGCTCGGGGTGTAGCTAAGTGAGAATAGGCTTGACATACATAAGAACCTGGGCCCCACCCCCAGGACTGAAAGAAGAAGGGAAAGGAAGAACATACTGACTATATATGCAGCTCAGTGTTATTCAGTATCTGAATTTTTAAAAAAATGTCAAGAACCAAAATTGGGAACCATGAGCTAAGGGAAAGACAGGACCCCTCTGTCCCCAAGGAGGAGGGACACTTGACTGGGTGTCTCAAGCTCAGAGGTTGGGCTGATCCACAGCCTGAGGGCCTGCTCTGTGCCTGCCTCTCCCTCATCTCTCCTCCCTTCTGGCAGAGCAGTAGTCGCACCTGGATCATTTGGGGTGGCCTCACTCGCTTGTCTTTCTTCTCCTAGATTTGCTCTTTTCTCCCTCAAAGCTAAGTAAAATGGTCCTATCAACAGCTCAGGCCACAAACCATCCTCCACCCACATGCAGGTTTTGCCCCTTTCCTTGACAGCTAGTGGCACATTTCAGTCTGATGTTTGCTTGCAGTGAGACAGGGAAGGACCCAGACTCAAATGCAGGTGGAGAAATGGACATAATTAAGGCAGGTTCTCCCCACCAGCTTAGACTCCAGGGCTTCAGCCTGATCTAGCCAAAGCCAAAGTCTCCATAAGACACAGTCTGATGCAATGGAATTTTGCTTGAGGTTTGTGCCAAAGCCCCAGCAAGCAATAAAGTATTATTTTGCTTTCTCGTATATAGTAACTTTTACATGTATATCTGTCTTGCTTACTTTTCTCTTGTTGCTGAGACAAAATACTTGACACCTAGAATTAAGGAAGGAAAGGTTTATTTAGCTCACAGTCTGTGGAAATTTCAGTCCATACTCGGCAGGCTCCAAGGCAGGGTGGCACATGGCAGAGGGCAACCATTCAAGGCAGTGAAAGATAGCAAAAGCAGCAAGAGCAAGACTGGAGGAGTGGTGGCGAGCAGCCTATTCTTCTGCTTAAATATGCAAACTATCCACCCCAGGGTGGGTGTAGCACTCACACCCATGAATCAATCATAAACTCTAGAAGCCTGCACCATGATTACATGAGGCTTTGGGAGGGCAGCCAGACACAAACCATAACAGTATCATACACAAATTATCCATGGTTATATTCTATGCACAATAACCTGCATGTAATATAAGATATATTAATTGCTATGGAGGATCCTCACTATTGATGCTGACTTTCCCTCAGACCTCGGGACCTATCTTCCTCTTGAAGAACTCACAGGATTGGGCAGCTATTCAGGGGCACAATTTGGGTATACCTGGGTAGGTTTATGACCTGGGTAGGTTCTCTTAAAGCTATCTTAATCATCCCTGGCTCCCTAACATCTGGGGCAAATAGCAGCACCCATTGCAATATCCTTAACAACCAGAGTTCTTTCCACAGCCTCCCACAACCAGGCACGTAAACCATCATCTTAGCCTTCCTCCACACCCTCCCCAGTGGAGCTTTCTCCCCTTGGTCTTTAGGATTCAGGGGCAGGTTATGGCTATCCTGGGAAGTATGCACTTCATTCTAGATTCAGGGTTTTCAGTGGGTGGCAGGACTCAAGTGTGGACCTGGAAATGGATATAATTAAGGCAGGTTTAATTACTAGCTTGGACTCCAGGGCTTCTTAAGAAACTAAAACTTCAGAAAGAGAGCAGCCAACAGTTTATCATTGATGTGAGCCCCACTCTCATCTCTAGCATCACCAATGTCTCTCAGTGTTACCATATCATGCATCTGTTGTGTGGGATTCCAGAGCCCTAAAGGCATTTATTCTAGAAGAGAGTTGGGCAATTTTTATGCAATGATTCTTAAGATTTTTTTGAGAATTTTATAAATGTCTGGAGAATCTATGAGCATGTTACAGTCCCTCTTGCCAGCAAAATGTACATGCAGAGAACATCTGGTATATAAAGGGATTGCAAATTCTCAGAAGCCCAGCCTTTGGCCCAGGTGAGGAGCCCCTGTTCCAGAGCAAGCCACAAGCCCACCCGGGATGTGCACCCAGAATGTCTTATTTTAACTCCACAGCACTTGTGCTTTGTTGGTAGTACATTGAGCTGAACAATGAATGGAGCGGTTTGGCTCTTCATTATTTTTGGAACATTTTGGCCTCATTTTCCAGTCAACTGCCTTGCATTATTAAACTCTCACCCCGGCTCATGAAACCTCAAGAGTGGTTCATACCTGCAAAGTGATGGTGAGAACTGTGAACAGTGATGTGGAAACTTCCGCCACACTGCATCTCACTGTGTATGTGGCCCAGGGTCGGGTTGACCCTTCTTGTTCTTACTCCAGCACCAGCCAGCAACTCCACTGCCCCCACACCCTGCACACACCCACCTGGCCTGGAGATGCCTTTGAACTTCAGCAAGCCACCAAGCAGCTTGTAGACAGGTTTTCCTTGACACTGTGGACAAGGAGCCAAATTGAACAGGCAGAACCACCTGACTCTGCAGCAGGAACAGTAAATCTTCTTTTTCCAGCTAGTGGCACTGACCCTACGCTTGGCTACTCCATGCATTTTGGGGAGTTGTAGGTAATAAACTCTTTCTTTTCTGCTCGGTTGCAGATCCTCCCCCAGAACAGCTTTGTGGGATGCCTGAAGGACTTTCAGTTGGGTTTAAAATCCTTGGATTCCCCTTTTGCAAACGTTGGGGTGTCTCCTTGCTTGAATGGCTCTTTGGAGAAAGGCATTTATTTCTCCCAAGGAGGAGGCCATGTCATCCTGGGTAAGAAGCAGTTTGGTAAAGTTCGTATCTCTGAGTCTATCTTTTGTCTTCAGTTATAATGGTTTAATTGTTTGTTTTTTCCTTTGCAAAGCTACCTCGGTGCTGTTGGAGCCAGAGTTCAAGCTTATGTTCAGCATTCGCCCAAGAAGTCTCACTGGGCTCCTGATCCACATTGGAAGTCAGGAAAGACAGCACTTAAGTGTTTACATGGAGGCAGGAAAGGTGCGTAGCAGTCTGGTGACCCTGGAGTGGGAAATGGAAACCAGATTCCATTTGTGAAGATTATAGCAAGTGAGGGCCCAGCAGAAGGCGAGACGAACACCTAAAGTTAGCCTTGCAGATGACTTACCATTTTACTTTAGCAAATAAGTTTATCATTGTGGTTTTTGTTCTTTGTCTTTAAAATTGGTAAAACTTACACATTAGGGGGAATTCCAGCTGCACCACTTAGTTATAGAGCCCTTGGGAAATTTCCTAACCTCTTTGAGACTTGGTTTCAGTATCTATGAAACAAGGGTAGTAATTCTTGTATCCCTGGGCCCTTGTCAAGATTAGAGAAACTTCCATGTGCGTCATAAATATCCATTTTCCTTTCTCCTTTTCACCCCCATCACACCTCTTATTCAGAAGGGCGGTATCAGAATTGCTGGGACAGGTTCTCCCCACCCTTCTTACCATGTCATACCTGCGCCCACGGCCTTGTGTCCCTGCAGTCAGTCTGGACCCTCTTAGTCTCTCCACACAGGCCCAGCCCCCTGGTCCCTCAGCTGAGCTGGTCACTGGGCCCCACACCAGCTTGGCTTTGGTTCCTCATGGATTCCTGCTTTAGTTTATGCTTCTTCTACCCCATCTTTCCCATTGCTCACAGGCCTGGGTCGATGTCTCATTTTCAACCACCCAGTTACATCGCCTTCCTTCTCAAAGATGTCTCTTTAAAACCAAATTCTTTCAGGAAGCTGATCGTAGTGGGGGCCTTGAGTCAAAAATTAATGCTGTGCTACTTTCTTTCATCTCTTTCTTTCCACTATTTATTAAATGTGAGGGGAAAACAGCCCCAGGAGGAAATAAAATGGCCCAAACTCCCCGCTACCCCTTGTGCTGAGGGTTGAAGCCAGGCCTCTTGCATGCTGGGCGAGTGCTCTGCACCGAGCAACCCCCCAGCCCCTCGCACATTTTCTACCTTAGTTGTGGACATTACGTCTGAGCAGCTCTCCTGTCACCCAGAGAAGCGACACTACCCACCTTCCAGGAGGTGGAGACGAAACTAACTTTTTAGAGGAGGGCTGGGAGGGGCCCCCAGTGAATGTCCCTGCAGAAGAACTCATCTCAAGGAAACAAAATCAATACCTGATGAGATTGACAGTGACATTATTTAGCTCAAGAATTGCCTGTAAATAGACAGTCCATCTAGCCAGAGGCAAAGTAAACATAAGTTATTTACAGTGGCACCTACTATAGCCCTGTCTTATAATTTGCCTTGATTCAACCTTGGAAGATCCCAGAGGAGCCCCTAACCAGAGAGTGGGCACCGACGCATGTCCAGTATGGATACACTCTGTCAGCTTGTTCAATGTCTTGGTCGTAACTGACTGGCCCTTACCACAGACTATAGGCCACCACCAGCACTGTTGTCTTCCAAACTTCATATGTCCTTCTCAGCAGTCACTGTCACATATGAAGTGCTAAGAGGGACGGCTGGTGCTCATCAGTAATCCTGGAGTAGGGCCGTGGGGGCAGGGTGTGGCTTGAGAGGAGTGGTTCACTGCCATTGCCGTTACTAACAACTTCAGGCAGGGCCTGGGTTTGCACCTTGCTTGCCAGGAGTTGAGGACCATTACAGCGCCTGCGGGCTGTCTGTATGGCCGTGCTTCAGAAGGGAGGTGGGGCAGAAAAGTTCTCTATACACACCTTTGGCAGGAAGTAGCAAGATGCATATGTGTTCCAGGTCACAGCCTCAGTGGACAGCGGGGCAGGCAGGATGTCGACGTCAGTGACACCAAAGCAGTCTCTGTGTGATGGACAATGGCACTCAGTGGCAGGTAGGACACCCAGTTCCCTACCGTGCACACACCAAGGCAGTCTCTTTTCATGTGGATCTGAATTTCCCAAAGGCGGCCTCTGTCCAACATTCCCAGTACCTGACCAGGTCAGCCCACCAGCTTAACTTGTCCATTGCCAACCCCACCGTGTTGATGCAATCATAGCTGCTGCCTCCAGTTCTCCATAACTTCCTGAGTTGGGGAATTTTGATGTGTGTGTGTGTGTGTGTGTGTGTGTGTGTGTGTGTGTGTGTGTTTTGAGCCCAGCAAATGGATATGTTGTATTAGTTTTCAAGATAATATAGCACTGTAATTTAGGTTTTGGATTTGAAATCAAAAGGAAAGAGGTGAAATCTCAGTGCCATCTTTTATCCTGTGTGACCTTGCGCAAGTGATTTAAGTGCTCTTCACCTTCAGTTTCTTCATCTGTACGATGGAGATAAAAGTAGCATACACCTCCCAGGGTGCGGACATTAAATCAGATAGTGTGTGTGAAGTGCTTTGCCTCATGTCCAATAGTAGAGTAAGTGTGTGCTCCTGCTATTGTATTGTTAAGTCTCATTGCTGGGTTATTTTTTCAACAATCAGTTAATGTTAATGGATACTGTTTAGGCAAGCTAATGGTGGAGAGCAAGGGGATCTTCTCAAATAGAATCTTTATTTTATTAATAACTCATGAGTATTAGTTTAGAGACATGTGAACCTGTATTTGCTAAAATACCTTTTGTAAAAAACAATCTTTTCTCAGCTAATCTGAAAACGAAACACACTGCAATTGGCTAAGATTGTTAACATGGGAGGAATTTGCTTCCACGGACCAAAAGTGTGTCGACTGCCTTTGGCATTGTTTGCAGAAGCCATTGCCAACTTAGAAAGTAGCTGAGGTCTTGTGACATGCGCATGGCCTCTGGAGATGAGATACCAGGGCTTGAATCCCATTTCTTTATAAACCAAGCATCTGGTCATGTCCTGAGTACGTCTCAGCCTATTATCTGAGAAGTGGAGATTACAGTGTCTTCTGCAGAGATTCATTTTAGGAACCAATTTGGTAATGTGTACAGAAGCACCACATGCTGTCTGGCACTAAGAAGCTAGGTGAATTTATTCCAAGTTGGCCACAGGTCTCACAGGAGTGAGTTAAAAATGAGGCCAGTAGTGGTACCACAGTATAGGAAGGACTCTCCTTGGTTGACAGATTTGACCAGCTTTCTTTCTTCCAGTCACCATCAAACAACACATCCTGCACCTGGAACTGGATAAGGACAACAGCTACACAGCTGGGAAGCTCACCTTCCCACCCCATAGCACCCAGGGGTTGCTACACATTGGCGGTGTCCCAGGTGATGCTCATCCTCATTTCTTTCATAGTTGTGTTGCCTAATGCCAGCTCTTAACATTTTCCTTTTACCCCAGTAAAGATGATGGCCACCACGTGGGTAACTGGCAGGGCAGGCCTTGGCTGGAGGGTGACAGTGAGGCCCTTTGTCCAGCACTTGGGGAAATCCAGTGCCTAGTGAAGGCCACATTACTGTTGCCACCCCTTGCCCCAAGCCTTCCACTTGTTTATAAGCCTCTCTTAAGAGGCTGCATTAACCCAGAAACCTGATATCAGCAAAGGATCAGACAGAAAAGCTGATCTCTCCTCCCCAGGCATTTATTCTTGCTGCTGAGTTATTAGGTTTCATGGGGCCAGAATGGGAGAGCTGGGCAGGTTGAGATGTAGGCAAGTTCGAGACTGGAATTTTTCATGGAAAGAACCTTTTCATTCTTCATTGCTTCATGTCCTTCCAAGTAGTCCATCTGGTTGTTAATTTCATAGTCCTTTCATGACCCATAAAAAGCAGCAGAGTTCAGAGGTATTGCCTGTTGATTTGGACTGTGGAACCCCCTTCTCTGAAGAGCTGAGGAGTCGCCTTGTTGCTGATTTATTAGAGCAGGCACAGTGTCAGCCACCTGCTTGAATAGGAAGAAATGCCTGGGTGGGATGGACCGTGGGGTCTCCTTGGCTCTTTCTTATAACTCTGTTTAAAACTCAGGGTGTGTTCGTTTGACAGTAGGATGTATTCATCAAATGCCTCTTGCTTTTTTCTTTCAGCCAATTTGAAGACACTGAACCTCCCAGTGTGGAGGTCATTTTTTGGTTGTCTAAAGAATATTCAAGTCAATCACAACCCTGTCCCTATCTCCAAAGCGATGGAAGTCCAGGGCATTGTCAGTCTGAGTGGCTGCCCTGGCCACTAACCCCAAGCTACCACACTGTGGGAAATTCACCTTCAGAAGCATAGAGGACCCAACACTCCTCCCTCCACAACTCAAAGTCATTCTTGACTCAAGACACCATCACGTCAAGTCTACAGCAAATCTAATTTTGAATTCTGACCATGCTCATAGACCCATCATTTTGGCATTCAGTACTACATATTATCGCATACAAAAATCTCACTTCTTGAAGAAGATGAACAAATTGTTATTCAAATGTGCACACAATACCTTTGATAATATTTGTCACTAAAAATTGTGCCTTTAAAAGAACTTGTCAAAAATAAATTTCTTTTAGAGCACTTTAAGAATATGAAACTTTTACATATGTTAAAGGGTTGTAATTTATGAGGTTAAATAAAAGCAGTGTACTTTTCAAATTATATGCTTTTGAGACATAAAACCAAAGGCTTGGTGACCGTTGTGCGGCACAGTAATTCCTTCGCACCTGGTCAGTGTGCTACCTACAACATGGTCTTTCTACAAGTAATGATTGAGCACAAAGTGGGAGGTTCTGTGTTTTCTCAGCACGTGAACTACAGTGAAGTGTAGAAGGTAGTTCTGCCCTTAAGGAATATTCAATTCAATTGAATATTCATAAAGTAGTAATTAACAAATCGAACTTCTGAACCCAACAGTTAATGAAGGCCACTGGCTTCCCAGTCCTTTTCTTCCCTAATCTGCTGCTAACCAAGGCTAGATAATTATTACCAATTCCTTGAAGACTTGAGCAATCTAGTAGGGGAGCTGAGAGGGAATATGTACTGTACCCAGAGCTTTGTATGGCATAACAGAAGTCAGCAGTGGAAAGAGATTTCACTGTCCTATGAGAAAGAGCAGGAAATCACTTCTAGTTTTAGTTATAAAATAATAAATGATCTACTAGACCAACATAACTACCCTGCATCACTTTCCCTAACAAAGAAGACTACGCAAGCATTTCTGTATCTTCTACATATTATTTGTTCATTAAGAGAAAAGTAACAATCCTAAAAATTGGGTATAGTAGTCCTATGATATCCTCAGAGCTATGTACTCTCCTCCTCTGAAACTGAGTTGCATTCCCTTGTTCTTTATGACCTTCACACTGCAGTCTTATGGGTATGCTTTCTACCAATCATCAACACAGCACTGGAATGTTCCAGAGAGGTTAGCCAAGCACCCAGCACAGAGGTTCTTCCCAGAAGTTGAACAGTGGTCCTCGGGGATTCTATGCTGGGTCAGAGGCTGAACTTGATGGCTAAGTCACACGCATTCTGAGAACATTGACTTTCCAATGAAAAATCTCCCAGGCAGCTGAGTCTGCAGCAAAATTATCCACACTACCTATTATTGCTAGATCTTCACTGAGCCCACATTCTCTGAAGGGCCCACCAAGACCTTCATCTCTCTCCAGAGTTCCTTGTGTTAACTAGAGCTACATTAGTGGTTTTTGTTATCACTTCCTGTAGCAATATTAAGGGACAGTTCGTGCTTCACTGGCTAGCCCTAGTGACTTTCCCTCTATTCTGTGATAACTGGAAGACAACCCCATCTGCATTTGCTGAACATAATTCCAGCCACCAGAAGGCAGCAGAGAGAATCCTGGATGACTTACAGCTGGGGAAACATAGCAACCCAAGTGTAGCTGTTCCATGATTATAAATTTGTGTTTTCTGTAAAGAATGTTTATAGCTCTTCAGCTGAACCAGCATGAAAACCATTTGTGAGCTGTAAGGTGATATATGAACTTTGTCACTGCTATTTTCTTTTCGGTTCAATAGGTTCACACTGAGTGGGCTGATCTTGGGGTAAGAAGCTAAGTAAGGACATCAAATCTCTGGTCAACAAATCTGACCTCATCACTTCAGGGCCACTGTTGGTTCCTGTTATGGTCTGGATATTGTCTGATGGTTTGAGTATCCTCCAGGGGTCCATTCTTTAAAGGCTTGGTGAAACCCAGAGTGGGGAATTGGGAGGTGCTATGAACGTTTATGAGGTTCCCTTTCAGTGCGGCTGTGCCCTTGAGAGGGATTGTGGGACCCTGCCTATTTTCCTCCTCACTTACTCCCTACTTCCTCATAAGACGTGAGTGCCTCCCCTGACACACACTCCCCTCAGAATGACTGCCAGCCTCGCCAGAGCTGAGCTGATGTGGGTGACCTGCCTTTGAACCTCTGAAACGGTGAGCTAAATAAACCTTCCCTCTTAATGAAGGTGGTTTGCTAAGTATTTTGTTGTATCTTCTAGGTGACTCATACAGTTCCATTTCGGTCCAATGTGATGGGGCCTGGAAAGAGCACAGTTCCCTAGGCAACAGACATGACAGGGGCAACAAGTATCTACAAAGCTCTTGGGTGCTTCTCACAGCATCTCTAAGCATATTTGTTGGCCTCATTCCTCAATATGCCAGGCACTGGGTTTTTGTTTTGTCACAATCAATATAGATCTGTGTCAGACCACAGTAACATGGGACAGAACACACCAATTTCCCCTTCTTCCAGACAGGAAGTGGTCTCACCCACGGAGAACTTGAACTCAACGCCTCTCCCCACCTCTGCCCACCCCACAATGTTGCACTACAAAACCCCAAGCGCCCAACCTCTGTTGACCACACTCTTCTCTGCCTACCCCAGGTCTCTTCACTAATTTCAATTTTGGGTAGCTCAGTAGTAGCCCTGGAAAAGCCTGGTTCTTCCTAGGAATAATGATGTCAAGCCAGCATATGAGAGGAACAATTTTAAAATAACATTACAAGCTGAGCATGGTGGCACATGGCTGTAATCCCAGCACTCGGGAGGCTGAGCCAGGAGGATCCTTGCGAGTTCGAGACCATCTGGGCTACAAAGTGAGCTCAAGGCCAGCCTGAACTGCATCTCAAAAACACACACACAAAAAAAAAAAGTTATAAAATAACATTAAAGTATTTTATTGAATACAAATGATATATGTATTTTTATTATGAAAAAAATCAGAATGTGCAGTAAAGTGTAAAAATCACCCGTGATCCCCCTACTCAGAAATCTCCTTATATTTAGCTATATACTCATGCTTCTTCTAAAATTCACAGTATTGTCTTACAAAGTCATGACTATAGTACATACTATTGTTACATGGGTTTAAAAATTGTACAGTATTGGTTTCTCAGGTCCTTGTAAAACATTTCATTCCATCAAAAGAATTTACCATAACGCCTTTAACCACATCCAATCTTTAGATACTGGGTATATTTCCATTTCTTACAATCATAAGCATTACTAGAATGAATGGGATGTAAATTTATTTACTTTAAGATAAATTAGAAGTAAAATGACTAAAGGCTATGAACATTTTAATGGCTGTGGTTAGTTATCGCCCAGTTATTCCCCAAAGGGAGTATCCCAGAGGTGGCAAACCTATGGCATGCGTGCTGCAGCCAGATGTTTGTATCACTAAAAGCTCTAAATGTTTGCTGTCACCGGTACACCCCTTTACACTTAGAATCATTTTAAACAGGGCTTGGCCTTCGACTATAAATCCCCAAGGCCCTCCCTCAGTCTTGAAGACAGGAAGCAGCCATTTGAGCAAGCAGATCCTTAGTGGCCTCTTAGGGCTTATATCTAGATGTCTCCCAAAGCCTCCTGGGCTCAAAAGTGGGGCCCTTGGAAGGTGACTGAATTACGGGGGCAGGATAGCTAATTGCTGTTAGAAGGTGGTTGGAAGCTCAGTCCCTGTGGGCGTGGCTGGAAGAGGTAGGTCACTGTGGGTGTGGCCTACAAGTGTGTATCTCCCTTCCCAGCTCCTCCCTGAACCCTTCCTGTTTCCAGGCTCCCTCCCGCCATACCACCCTGCCTTGGAGCCAGAGGACCCTGCAAGGACCAGAACTACTAAAATGTGAGCCACAGTAAACCCTTCTTCCTTCTGCTGCAAGTGCCAGGTATTACATCTCAGCAATGAGAAAGTGACGAAGACATGACCCGTAGTTGTCTAGGCTGGTCTGAGAATAAATCCATCACCTGAAAGCATGGAGCCAGCTGATGGGTGTTTGGCTCTGATGTGCCATTTTGCAAGATGCTTTAGACAGGTGAGGGTTGTACCATGAGTCCTTCAAACTGGCGCTGAGCCACAAACCAGCCAAGATTGTAGAAGGCATCACATTCAGAGAGCGTCAAGCCAATGCCAAGCCAGGCTGTGCTTCCAGGTGGAGCAGGGCACTCCCCGAGGGTTTGAATACTGACTGTGCCTTAGCAGCCACTGGCCCTCAGCTATAGGCCCCGCCGGCCGTTTCTCCTCCACCTTGGAATTTTCCTTTCATGGCAACTGACACCTTCCTAAGGATTCTATCAGGTAAAATTCCAGGATTTTAACTGGCAAAAGTCCAAGACATCATCCTGCTTATACCTTGGCCCGCAACAGAGAAATCCAAAGCAAGCTTTAAAAAAAAAAGAGTTGAATTGACACATATTTTGGTGTATAGTTTGATCATCCAACACATATAAACAGTGTGTAAAGATCAGATCAGGTAAGTCAAATTTCCAGCTCCTTAAATATTTATTATTTCTTTGTCTTGGGATCCTTCAAAACCCCTCTTTTCTAGTTTTTTTATAAAACAATAATGAATTGTCAACTATTGTCACCCTCCTCTGCTGTGGAACACTAGAGCTCATTCCTGCCATCTAACTGTGTTTGTACTATTACCCAACCTCCTCCTGTCCTCCCTTCTCTCCTTCTCTCCTCCCTGGCTGTTCTACTCCAGGTAATGACATCAACATTTTTAGCTTCTGCACAAGTATGAGAAGGTCCCTTTCTGCACTTGGCTTAGTTCACTTAACATAATGTCCCCAGTTTCATCCATGTAGGCACGAATGACAGGATTTCATTCTTTCTTATGGCTGAAAAGTATTACATTGTGAACATATACATTTCTTTATGCATTTATCTGTTAATGACACCTTGGTTGATTCTTTTTCCTGACTACCATGGGTAGTGCTGCAATGAACACGGGAACACAAGTGTTTCTTTGATATACATATTTCATTTCTTTTGATATAGAGCCAGTAGTAGAGTTGCTGAGCCATGTGTTAGTTTTTTAATTTTTTGAGGAACTTCCACATATTTTCCACCTGGCTATAATAACTTTTATTTACCAGCAGTGTACAAGAGTTCCCAATTCTCTGCCCCCTCATTGTATTTATCACTCTTTTTATTACAGCTACATATTTTTATCTTTTTTCATATGGATCATATGGGATGTGGGGTGAAATCGTATCTCATTGTGGTTCTGATTTGCATTTACCTTTGATGATAACTGGTGTTGAGCATTTTCTCCTGCACTGATTAGCCATTTGCATATCATCTTTTGAGAAAAGTCTGTTCAGATTATTTTGCCATTTTAAGTAGGGTTATTTTGGTTTTGTTTGTTTTT